AATATGTGGTTATTTATTTATTCGTGTGTTTTTTGTATTGTGTTATTATTTGATGAACATGTTTGACACCCACATCCTCTCGTGGCATTTTTCTTCGTTCCGTGTTGACTTCTTCTTCTTCTTGCGCTGATGTGGCAGTTTTGTCTAAATGGCGACGCCTGTCGGTCAGACCGTGCAACAGCATCCTTAGCACTGGTAGAAGCCGTGGCGACGTCACTGTTTGCGAACAACAATGCTGCGGGTATAGATGCGACTAAGAGGAAGTGCAAACAACCAAAGCAGAGGAAACCACTGCATGTGAGATCCGCTGATTAGTTTCTTCACACCGTTCGGAGTCCTTAAAGATCCATTACAGCCGCTGGGAGCGGACACTGGAATTACACCGAGCTTTAGTTTCATCCGCATCCCTTGTCTGTATCAGAGGAAACCATCCATCTGCGCCCCCGGTGACCCAGAAACGAAGCAGTCGTGTGACAGATGGAGAAACAGGCCGGAGGTGCCGGCGCTGGGGACGGTGCAGGGGCGAACAGAAAGCCGTGGGGCTCGCCGACTTGCGGCGCGGCAGCCGGTGATACCCTGGACAGGTAAGCAGGCTCGCTAACGAGAAAACGTGACGTCGATGCCCAGCTTGTTACTTATGCTCGTCTCGCTTTCCCACTGAACACCAGCAACATGAAATATTAGTAGTAGATCACACCTTCATCTCGGCATCGATCCACAGACCAGTGCTTGGGTCAAACTTTCCAACGTGACAAAACACTCATCACGGATGTAGTGTGTTAGCATTTCATCTCAGTGTTATTTGGAACCACAACATACAACACAGTAGCTGACAAAATAATACGGTCACGTGATTAACACAGCATATAGGAAATGCACAGGAATGAGGCGGAATATGGCCACCCAGCCGAGTTACGCATCCGTATCTGCCGCTCAGAGGAAGCGACGTGCAGCGCAGCCACCTGAGGGAGAGATGACGTGGTGACAGAAATGTTACAATGTTGCTCCTGTTAAAACAATGCCGACACTGAAACGTGGGGTTGTGTTGTGCTGGGTAGGAACCATGTTCTTTATGTAGTCTGTATGCTGATGCCTGCTTATCATCCCCCCATTATAGTACTAAAACTGGAGGAAGCGTCACACAGTCGTAACTCCTCCCCCTCAACATTCCAAGACATTCACACCACAAAGCTGCTCCAATCCAGACTGAGTTTGTCAGAGACACTGGCTTATCTTCTGCCACTGACAAGCTTCATATGATATATTGTTCTCGGCTTGATATTCAGGACTGTCCTGGACACCGACCGTATGTCTCCATCACTCAGACAACCGCTGTCAAAGCTCAGGGACAGGACGTTGTACTGTCTGTCTTACGAGTGGGAGACAAATCCATACAGCAAAGTATCATCAAATTTTGTATCCAAAAATCAACATTTTATTAAATAAATGAAAAGACTCTGTGAATACTACAAAAGTCTGACTCGGACTGACTGAAGTCACAATGCAGTTTATATCAGAGACAGATTGCATATAATTGGCAACTTCACCCCGTACAGTTGCAGGCTGGTGTCAGTCTGACACACTCAGACTCAGTCCAGCAACATTTCTGGCAGCTTTTAGTGGCAGTCTTGGTTTTCTTAGCAATCATCATTTGCAGTTGAAATAATATTAGAGTTCTGCATTAATAACATTGTTACTACACAGGGGTTCTGCTCTTTGAGCTGGGGGAACGTTCTCATCTGTAACATGTGGTCAGCTGAACATCGTCCTCACTGACAGAGGACGTTTATCTGTTTAACACATGCATCTTACAGTGATGATGTTAAACGTGAATATAGCCGAATATACGTCAGTTCACTGTTTCACTCTGTGTTCAGTCCAACAGGTTCTCACGTAGAATGGTGTAAACAGCTAATAGCAGCCACAATCTCCAGTCAGATCTCAGGATCAGTCCAACCAGACATTGGGAGCAGGGACATCAAGGTAGATAACACACAGCACACACAGACACACACACTGCTGGCAGTGATTCTCATCCGTGTGTATTCTGTAACTAATAGGCTGGGAGAAGACCAGACTTCATGGTAAGTCTCTGAGACGTCTCCATGTGAGCTGCTTTGAGTGTGGGCGCCTAGTTTTGTCTGTTAAGTCCATATGAGTGATAAAGTCTGCTGTCATTGTTTAGGGACGCTACTGAGCAAGTTATCGACTGCTTCTGTCTGTCAGCGGCCTGCTCTCTGCAACCACCGCTCTGTAGCGAGGCGCATTTTGGCTCATTCATATTGAGTTTTGTCTGTTAGACCTCAGATCAGGCAGAGGTGTAATGTTCTATGTATTGCACATTATATGCAATGTGCTTTATTAACTAGACGATGCTGCTCATATAGATCTGTTATTTAGCAGGGTTTAGCTGTATTGTTTGCAAGTGTAACGCATCACACTAGACCTGCAAAGAGAGACCAAACGGTGGCCCCTGGTTGTATAACATTAGATCTTTGCAAACGCTGACGATAAAATATGATAAAGCAGTTGTAAAAGTGTCACTCAGCACCTCACTACATCTTCTACAGCTGTTACGTT